AAGTTGCTCCTAACGTCAGGCGGCAAGAGTTTCTTTGCCCGCGGTGTAGATGTTTTTCCTTTTCCTAGGAGGCATCTGGGGTGGGGGTTCGTTGCCTTAGGGGCCGACCCTGTTATCGACTCAGAGTGGACCGCTTTGCGGGGGGGGTGCCATGCTGTTGCGGTGGAGCCAGCCCGACTTTTGAGTTCCGAGGTTCACTCGGACGAGGACGAGGGGTATCCCAGACCACCTCCTAGGGGGATGGATAAAAACATCTTCACGAAAGGACTTTCAATTCTTGGTGCCTTGCGTAAAGAGAAAACTGCCATAACACTCGTTTGGTGGCCATTCTAGGAGTCACTGACGTATGGGGAACTGGTGCCACAAGCAGCCCAGTTGGTGTCCTACTAGGAAGACAAATGTTTTAGTAATACTTAGTTTTAACTTGATCACCTTTGTCTTCACTTCTTTCAGATGGTTGTGGAAACAACGGTCTGCTACCTTTTCCGCAATCGTGATGCAGCGGCGGAGCGGGTCGAGTCCCGGAGACTTAATGGAGAAAGATTAGAGAGGATAGGACGACTCGTCTACAATCCTTATGAATCATACTCTGAGGAGGATGTTTCGCGATTCTGGGGAGGCAGTGCTCGAAATCCCCCTGGACGACTTATTTTTAGTTCAAGGACCGGACTGGACATCGTACACTATGAGTTTGTGCCACCACTGCCCGAGCGTGACTTCGCTAATATGAACTTAGTGGTGATGCAACCATACAAGATTAATCCACGAATGGACGAGATCCCTGAGATAGGGCTGACGTTCGTTCGTTCCATACTGTGGTTGAACGAACGACAGGGCCCTTTCTTCGGTATATATCATACAAGACGAGTGCGGGCAAATAGGTTCAGTATTCTACGAGTTGAACCTTTCTCTGAGTATGCATGGCAAGATGAGGAGGACGAGCTCGAGGAAGGATTACGTGACAAATATAATTTATGTTCTGACACGCAGATGCCTGGAGCACGACGAGATTTGACGATTCCGAGGTACTTGCTAGTTCGCGACACACGTGAGGACGACCTTATCAGAGGAGCGGAGCAGATTTTACGGGTTCGAGATGGTTCTCCTACTGAGTGGATCGGCTTCGTCGGATTATTACGCAACGGCGAGGGATTTTTTTCCACTACTCGCGCGGATTTCCTGGCAAATACGGCCCGGACTCGGGATGAGTTATTCGGATATACCCTTTATTTTCACCGTGCGAGTAATCTCCAATGTCTCTCACGAGTCATTGTGAGTATCACGATTACGTCGTCCGGCAGATGTTTCGGCATCATCCGGATCCGGGATACTGAGATCAAACGCTTGTTTGGACTCAGTCGGCCTTTACGAGTCATAGTGTGGAGACTAGCCTCACGAATGGCCTCCCTGTATGGTACTCAGACTTTTAGAGTCATGCGAGGTGGGCGAGCGACAACCCTGGTACTTGACAACGACGAGCGTGTGCGTTTGAATTTGTTGGAGGCACAGGTGTGCGGAGGACGACAGGTTTACCAGGGTTAGACGCTGCTTTCTGAAAATCTTACTCAAATTCCAAAAAACCTCTTGCATAGACCAATTCCATCGAGGAAGTCATATGATTATGACTTCACGAGGTAATCTCAAAAACAAAAACAAAAACACTTATGTAGTTAGGACCGCCGGATGGATAGTATTCGGATTACCCCGATGATTTCACTATCATGCTTATGCATTGAGGGGTAATGGATCGTGTAAAAATAAGTTGAATTAAGTGAAAAGCGAGACATCTGAAGAAGATGCAAAGCGTAATAATGAGGACGAAGTAGTGAGAGACGGAACATTTCCATGTTGAGTAATGGTGATGGAGATGGATACTCCATCATTCGTGGAACAGAAAGAGTAATTATTGTCCAGAAGGATAAAGCGACCAACAAAATTTTTCAATCGCTCCTCCAAGCAGTTGCATATGGTACGGAAATGTGGTAGAACCGAGAGTTCAAACATCGACCAGGAACCAGATCACTTGTTGATCTGCACGGTAGCAGTGGTATTTACTTGCAGATATTATCATAGGAAGATCAGTCCTAGTTTGTTCTTCAATTAATAGTCTTGGAGCGACTATATAAAAATTATCCAGTCATACAGGTTGGAAAGAAACACTTTGGCAGACCAGCTCATCAAGTCAATGATTTGGATTGTGTGATTTTGTTTTAAAGTACGAGGATTTTTTTTTTGATTGCTAGGGACTAAGGATTGTTTTTACGATTGGTTGAGACTGTCCTTGGGAGATCAGCGCCCCAGGGAACGAACGGCGTTCGGGTTTGCTCGGCGTTAACCAAGCATTTCCTATACTGCAGCGAGACGAGCAAACGCGCTCGACTGATCTACCTCTGCGATTGCATTTAAAAGCCTTCGCACGTGGGTCAGTAGCTCGGTAGGGATACGCCCCTGAGGGTGGTGACAGCCCCTTAGGGATGCAAGCTTATGCCCCGCGGGAACCTGTCCTGTCGTAGGGGATTGCGAGAAGTATAGCTGGCGCACCCGGCTAGGGCGGCGAAGGAGCGATGCAAACGCGTCCGTCTCGGCGGTTCGCGGAATGTTATGCGTCATTCCCAAGTTGTCTCTTGAAGATATGTTTTAGGCAAAATCCTGCGTGACATGGCCTGGAGGGCCGTCGTTTTCGCACGAGGGCCGATGCGCTCGATAGCGGGATCGGAGTCGCGACGAAGAAGAAGAAGAAGAGGAGGATAAGAGGAAGAAGAAGAAAAGAATAAGAAAAGAACGAAGAGAGAGAAGAAGAAGAAGATGGTTGGAAGAAGAAGAAGAAGAAGAAGAAGAAGAAGAAGAAGAAGAAGAAAAGGAAAACTAAAAAAATAAAAAGAAAATTGTCGTCGATTACTTATCTGTGTGGAGGTAGCAACGACGATGACGAGGATAGCACGGCGCGGCGACGAGGACGACGGGCGAGGCGATGGCGATGGCGATGTGGCACGACGACGACGATCGCAACGGTGACGATGATAACGTGGCACGACGGCGACGATCGCGACGATGACGATGATGACTTGGCACGACGGCGACGATCACGACGATGACATGGCACGACGACGATCACGACGATGATGCTGATGATGGCCAGGTGGTGACGACGAAGCAATGTGGGTCGGGCGGGTTCGAACCGCTCCAATACCAGTGTGACGAGCGTGAGGCTGAGGGAGAGCCGAGGGAGAGGAGAGAGAGAGGGAGAGAGTGAGAGCACACACACACACTCACTCACTGGACACGACAGAGGGTCGGACACAGACACTGTGGCAAGGCACAAAGTCGAAGTATTGGATTCCGAATGCCGAAACAGCAAGTCACACTGAGTACGAGCACGACAGCAGAAAACTGGTACGAGACTGGTCCCCGTACCGTACGGGGAGCCGGTATAAGTACCGGTGACACGTACAGTACCAGGGGCATTTCTGCAAAGGCCCCGAGGGCAGAACTGAAAAATGCGGTATTTGAAAGTGGCGCCCGAATTGCAGCATGGCGCCAGTTGTCCAAAATCCTACGGTACCAAAGGAGGGGTTTGGAAAAAGGGTGCCACGCCGAAAACGGGATGCAGCCGAAACAGCAAAAAGATAGACCAGGGATTGAGCCCTGGCGGAGTCCGTAACAGGATGGATAACGTCATGTGGGTGTGAGGGTTTGTCGATGATAGCCCGACAAACTGTTTGTGTGTTTTTTTTTTTAATATCCTGACAAACTTAAACTCTATGGGAGAAGAAGTTGGTTGGTTCTGCTTCCTGGAGGAGATGGTGCAACACTGGCATGCGTGCACAATAGAGAAACGGCTCAGCAAATGGGATAGGTATGTAGTTTTTGTTGATGCCAGAGTGTTGACATCTACAGATTGAGAGCGCTTGTGTGAGGAAGAGGGAGTGGTTGGTGGATTTACAGTTTCCCGGAGTGTAAGAGGGAGGTACTTTTCACTGGTTGCCGAGGGGTATGACAGGTAATGATTGAGGCAGTGATGCGTGTGCACGTCAGAGGTGTGTGTGTGTGTGTGTGTGTGTGTGTGTGTGTGTGTGTGTGTGTGTGCTGTCTCTTATACACATCTAGATGTGTATAAGAGACAGGTGTGTGAGAGAGAGAGAGAGAGAGAGAGAGAGAGAGAGTTAAATGGCGCGCTCACTAGCACTTGCGCTCTCTGTGTGTGTTTGCACCACAACAGCCCCTGTTCCACCCAGATGAGTAGATCCAAAATCAAAGCAACTTTACCTCTATTGCAGACAATGAAGCACACTTGAGATAAGCCAATCCAGCAATGAAACAGTTTTTCCTGTATTGCAAGCAACATGTGTGTGTGTGTATGTGACATGCACCCATATGCACCCACGTACACCCCTCTCTCTCTCTGTGTCTGTGTGTGTGTGTGTGTGACATGCATCATGTTTGTGTGTGTGACATACGTCCATGTGCACGTTCACCCGCACATCTGAGTTCCGCATGAATGGTCAGGGGTGCATACCAAAAAGATGCCTCTCCATACCGGGGCATGACAAGCATGGCCTGATGCAGGCCTGAATGCCGGGTTGGCGAGGGTGTGGTCCAAAGTTGCCCTCCCCTCCCCCTCACAGGAGCCCACCAAAAAACTTCCAGGCTGGAAGGGCATGTCAGGTGAGGGGGCTGTTAGAGGGGCATAGAGCAAGCAGAGGCATCCTTGAGGGGCACGGAAACTTTCCCAGAGGAAAAAAGATTCAACTGATTTCCATTCTTCCATCTGCCTTTTTGAAAACACGACAGCACAAAAATGCACATGAATAAAGGGTCATCCAATCTGAGCTCAGACCCTACTGAACTTACTGAAGAAGAAATTTTAAGAAACATAAGGGAATGAAAAGCTTGTTTCTAGGTTTGCCAATTTCCCCCCCTGTTTTTTTCTACTTTTTGGAAATAACAGCTGCTTCGTTTCCATGACTGTGGGATTGGTGAAACCATGTTGGTGTTTGCAGTGCTGCTGGAGACAATTAGCCGAAAAGAGGGTGTCCAATATGAAGCCCATCTGGTGGAGCCAAAGGCTGTCAGGAAAGAGGACCTCTACGGAAGCTTCGATGCCACTACGAGGGAGTGGAGGGACGGTGTGTTTACGGCACTCCTTCGGCAGATAATCGATAACATCAAGGGTGAATCCAAAATGCGCCACTGGGTTGTCATTGACGGGGATGTTGATCCTGAATGGGTGGAAAATCTGAATAGCTTTCTAGATGACAACAAGGTCCTCACTCTGCCGAACGGGGAACGGCTGGCTCTTCCACCAGCAATGAGGTGTGTCTTTGAAGTGGACAGCCTCAGACATGCAACTCCTGCAACTGTGTCACGTTGCGGCATGATCTGGTTCACAGAGAACATTGTGACGGTGCCAATGGTGCTGGCACATTATTGCGCTCGTCTCAGAGTCGAGCCCATCTCCATTGGACAGACTGGTATTCTCGCATCTCGAAGGCCTGTGAACATGACAAGTGGTGCGCTTGCTCATGAGCTAGAGGTTCAACACAAATGCCTCACTGTGCTCGAGCCATTTCTTCAAGAAGGGGGTCTGGTGCATGCTGCAGTTTCCATTGCTTCCAAGCAGAGCCACATTATGGGTTCCATGCCCCTGTCTGCTGTTGAAAGCACCCTCAGTCTTTTGGATGCAACAATATCAAATGTACTGGACTACAACAACTACCATCCAGGCTTCCCACTCACCACAAAGCAGTTGTGCATTTATCTTCCAAAACGTTTGCTTGTGGCCATTGTGTGGGGAATGGGAGGATCAATGTCACACGACGGGCGTGTTACATTTGTGTCCGATCTCAAGGCCATCGCCAACCACCATGGGGCAGTAGTCATGAAAGAGGTCCTGGAGAACCCGATGCTTTGGGATCATGATGTGTCTATTGCTGATGGACGAACTGTTCCCTGGAAGACACATGTCCCAGTCAGTGATGTGACTTTGCAAGAGATCCGAACCACAGATTTTATTGTTCCGACCGTGGATACTGTGCGGAATGAGGCTTTGCTGAGAGCTTGGCTTTCGCAGCGGCGGCTCCTGATATTGTGTGGCCCTCCGGGATCTGGGAAGACACTGACAATCACATCGGCCCTGAAGAGCATGCCAGGTGTGGACCTTCTCATGCTGAGCTTCTCAAGCTGCACTACACCTGAGTATCTGGTGTGCGCCTGCCAACAACGCTGTGAGATTTTAAAGGCCCCAGGTGGCACGTACGTCATGCGACCACAGCATGCAAACAAGTGGCTCGTTGTCTTCTGTGATGAGATCAATCTTCCCTCCTGTGATGCATATGGGACGCAACGCGTCATTGCTTTTCTTCGACAGCTTACTGAGCAGAAAGGTTTCTGGCGGTCATCTGATTCAGCATGGGTGGCTTTGGAGCGGATACAGTTTCTGGGTGCTTGCAACCCTCCATCGGATGCAGGACGTGTGCCATTGCCCCAGCGGTTCTCAAGACATGCCTCACTTCTTTTTGTCGACTTCCCTTCCAAAGATGCGCTGCTCCAAATTTATGGATCACTCTGCCGGACTCTTCTGAAATATCATGCCGAGGTTGCAGCTTATCACATGGCTTTGACAGAGGCTATTGTGGCCGTCTACCTCCAGTGCAAGGAGAGGTTCACAGCCGTACAGCATGCACATTACATATTCAGCCCCCGTGAATTGAGCCGATGGGTGCGTGCATTGCAGGAGGCATTGCAAAACATGGAAGACACGCTTACTGTGGAAGGTTTGGTAAGGCTTTGGCTGCATGAAGGGTTGCGACTATTCCAGGACAGGCTCATCACAATAGAGGAGCGGGAGAGTGTGGATGAGATGATGAATGCAGCTGCTTCGCAGTATTTCCCAGCCATCAAACCAATGACCTTGTGCCGGCCGATCCGATTCAGCACATGGCTGAGTCGTGACTATCAGGAAGCGGACACAGAGAGGCTGAGGGACTACATAAAGGCAAGATTGCAGACTTTCCAGGAGGAGGAGCTAGATGTGCCTATCATACCTTTTGACGATGCCCTGGACCATATCCTTAAAATCGACCTAGTTCTTCGGCAGCCTTGTGGTCATCTTCTGTTGGTGGGTCCTAATGGTACGGGCAAGACGACACTGGCACGCTTCACAGCATGGATGAATGGCCTGCGGATATTCTCCATCAATGCCCACCGAAAATACACGTCAACGCAGTTTGATGAGGACCTGAGGAACTTGCTCAGATGGACTGGCTGCCGCAGGGAGCGCATTTGCTTCATCTTTGATGAGGCAAATGTGTTGGAGACAAGTTTTCTAGAACGGCTCAATGCACTGCTTGCGAATGGTGAGGTCCCTGGGCTTTTTGATGAGGAGGAGATGCATGCACTCATGCATCAGTGCAAGGAAGGTGCTCGCTCTCGAGGACTGGCGATCGATTCCCATGAAGACCTGTACCAATACTTTGTCCAGCAAGTGCAGTTGAATCTGCACGTGTGCTTTACCATGACATCACCAGAGGGTGACCTCAGCAGCGGGGCACTCTCATCCCCAGCCTTGCTTAACCGTTGTGTCATCAAGTGGTTTGCCCCGTGGTCCGCAGTTACTCTCCGCCAGCTGGCAAGAGAACAGGTCTGGAACCTGGACCTGAATTTCGCTGGCAGCATTGGAAAGGCGCAGGGATTGGGCAACAGAACTATGGACAAGGAAGTGGGAATAGAGGAGGAGCTGGTGGAGATCCTGGTTGCAATGCACGAGCAAGCTCTCCGTCTCAGTTTTGGGATGGCGATGTCAGCTGGAAAGCAGGTGACCGGAGTATCTATTACTTCATGCAACTTCCTGGACTTCGTTCATCAGTTTATTAGGCTATACCATGAGAAAAAGGCGGAGCTCGAAGAACAGCAGTTGCATCTACTAGCAGGACTAGATAAGGTGCAGTCGGCTGAAGTGCAAGTCACACAGATGAAGCAGCTGCTGACGGCATCAACAGCTCTCTTGGAAAGGAAGGATATCGATGCGAATGAAAAACTGAAGGAAATGATGCGTGATCAGAACACAGCAGTTTCTCAAAGGGAGCAAGCCCTTAAAATCAATCAGCAGCTTGAGGTTCGCAGGCATGTGATTGAAACTAGGAAAAGGGATGCGCACATGGAGCTCTCCCGTGCAGAGCCAGCACTGAAGGAAGCGCGAGCAACTGTCAGCGAGATAAAGAAGCCCCAGCTGGATGACCTGAGGGCTATGCCAAATCCACCGGAGACCGTCAAGCTCACATTGGAGGCTGTTTGCCTGCTTTTGAGTGCAAGCAAACCAAATTCAACAAACTCATGGTCGTCGATTCTTAGCACGGTAAAGCGGACAGACTTCATCACGAACATTATACGGTTTTCTCCTGACAATCTGAAGCCAAAGCTTGTAAGCAGGTTAAGCCAGGAATATCTCAGCAATCCCGGATTCACATTCGAGGCAGTCAATAGGGCTAGCAAGGCATGCGGGGCGCTTTTCCGATGGCTGAAGTCGCAAGTCGAGTATGGGGAGATTCTGGTTCGAGTTCAGCCTTTACGGGATGAGGTCGATGCTCTCGAGCAGGAGTCCCAGAAGCTTCAGAATGATGCAGGCGAGATTCAGGCCGAGCTGGAGAAATTGGAAAAGAGGATTGCTGAGTACAAGGTTGAGTATGCACAGCTAGTCACTGATGCTGAATCAATCAGGGCAGACATACATCGGACGGCACTGAAAATCAACCGTGCAAAAGCCTTGATTGAAAGCTTATCGTACGAACGCTGTCGGTGGCTGGATCAGCGTCAGAGCTTCAAGGAACAGATGGCCACATTAGTTGGTGATGTGGCTTTGTCTGCAGGCTTTCTAGCATATCTGGGTCTGTTTGACCAGCACCATCGGCAGGAGCTGCTTTACCATTGGCAGTCAACCTTTGACGGGTCAAACAGTATTGCATACAGAACGTCACTCTCGTGGGTGGAGTACCTATCAAAGCCAGACGATCGGATGCAATGGCAGGAGTGTGGTCTCTCCACCGATGATTTGTCCATGCAGAACGCCATCATTCTGAGCCGATCACTTCGCCACCCGCTCATCGTCGATCCATCAGGACAAATGGTTGAATACTTGATGATGCGCCTGCAAAAGCAGAGAGTCGTCAAGACGAGCATTCTTTTGGGATCATTCATGAGTGACCTGGAAAGCGCGCTACGGTTCGGTTACCCTCTCGTGGTACAGGATGTGGACCGGATCGATCCAGTCCTCAACCCAGTTCTCAATCGGGAGTCGCACTCTGTGGGTGGGCGAAGGCTGGTCAGGCTCGGGGATCAGGAAGTGGACTTTTCCCCATCATTCCAACTGTTTATGACAACCCGGAATGCAAACCTGGAGTTCACCCCCAGCCTTTGTAGTCGTCTGACGATTGTTAATTGCACCATTACGCCGGGCGGACTCTGCGACACGATCCTCAGCAAGGTGCTGCGGGTGGAGAGACCGGATGTGGAGCAGCAACGAGTCGAACTCGTGCAGCTGCAGGGGACATATAGATTGCGACTGCATCAGCTAGAGCAGGAACTGTTGAATGCACTCTCAGCGACAGAAGGAGAGATCCTTGACAATGACACAGTGGTTACGACACTGGAGAGAATCAAGCATGAGGCTGAGCAAATCGCCAAGAAAGCAGCAGAAACAGACATGGTCATGTCGGCAGTCGAGGATGTGCGAGCTGAGTACCGTCCTCTGGCTGATACCTGCAGCTCGATTTTCTTCATCTTGCAGCGAGTCTCTCTTCTTCACCCACTCTATCATTTCAGCTTGGAGCTTTTTGTGCTGATCTTTGATGACGTGCTGGTCAAATCCGTGGTACGGAAAGAGGGAGTTTGGAGCCCTGAAGAGAGGATGGAAAGGCTGAGGGAGCTTCTGCTGCTTGCTGTGTACCGCAGAATTTCCCAGGGAATGCTGCAGCAGCACCATGCACCGTTGGCAGTTCGTCTTGCACAGTTGGCTGTCTCTGAAAAACTGCAGAGCCTGATGAACGAGATCAATAGCCTTCTTGATGCTGCATGCAGTCGCCTACCCTCACGTTCAAGCAAACTATCGCTTGACTGTACTGTCTACGAGCGAGACCTGGTATCTGTGTTCCCAGCCTGCTCCTCTAGATTGCTGACTACTATTCTATCGCCCATGCCGATAGGCCGGCAAATATTGACTGCGATTGCGAAGCATGCTCATCAAAACATTTCTGCATGGAAGACGTTTCTGGCTGGGCATGATCATGCCGAGGTGCATGTTCCAGGTGGCTGGGAAAGAGAGGTCTTCACGAACGTGAAAGGTGGACAGGCAGCCCAAGGGACAAGGGAGACCATATGGACGACCCTGCTTCATCTGCTTGTTGTTTCCGCTCTGCGTCCGGACAGGGTGGAGTATGCTAGCGAGAAGTTCGTAGAATCAGTTCTTGATGGCTTGACCGGATGCAGTGATGAGGAGAAAGCTGCATCGAAGGTAGGAGCCTTTGTTGAATCAAACGGGTCTGCAAGCCGGCCACTTCTTCTGGCATGTGCGTTGGGTTATGATGGAAGCCGGCAGATCGACGAGTTGGCCCGCAGATCAGGTGTCAGGTATCAGTCTCTTGCCATGGGATCAGCAGACGGATGCGCTGCGGCGGAGAAGGTGATCCGGGCAGATGCTGCTTCTGGGGGGTGGGTTCTCCTCCGGAATCTCCATCTTGTTCCTCACTGGCTCCCATCGCTTGAGCAGCAGCTACTCCATACGGAGACTCACCGATCTTTCCGGCTGTTCCTGACAGTGGAGATTGCCAGTGCAACTGTCGTTCCTGCAAGCCTGATCCGTCTTTGCGACTTAGTTGTTCTTGAAGCACCCTCAGGCATGAAAGCCAGCCTTCACCGCTCCATCGGAAGGATAACCAATCAACAGAAGCAAGCTCCTCCTCAGGAGCGTGCTCGACTCTACATGATCCTTGCATGGTTGCATGGTGTGATGGTGGAAAGACTTCGGCACGTTCCCATTGGATGGTCTCAGCTATATGAATTCAATGATGTGGTGAGTCCTTGAGTGCGGGTTTTGCTCAGACCTGACATTTTCATTGCTGAATGCTGTTTTACAGAGTGTCCCATGCGAACGCATGTCTCCTGGTTGGCACTCCTCTGGGTGCAGTGTATATGATGAATGCCAGTTGAAGAGTTTGGCCTTCTTTTCCTCCATATCTGCCATTCAGACATCTTAGGAGAAGTTAGGACCATCATACGATAATTAATAATAATGATTCTGATAATATGTCCCTTTCTCTCATGGTCAAAATCCAGGTATCCCTGGGCAGGTGTCCACTTCTGGATACCCTTTTCTGAATGATGTCTTTGTCCGGATTGGAAATGTATTTCGGAGTTGTTTCAGCTATCTCCAAGTTTGAATTTCAGAAAAAAAAATTCAAAAGTCTGGAAAAATATGAAGATTATGCGGCATAATGCAATCAGACTCGCTATCTTTCACACTTCACATGTATGCAAACAGGTGCGCAGAAAACTGGCGACAACCGCCCACTCAAAACTCAGAGATATGGTAGCCGAGAACACAGTTCAGATACAAGTTCACTTCAATGGCTATGGCAACACAGCGCCCACACAACTCTCTGTTCGCACACACAGGATCACCCTGGATATCCCACACGCGTTACTCTGTACACACATACACACACACNAACACAGCGCCCACACAACTCTCTGTTCGCACACACAGGATCACCCTGGATATCCCACACGCGTTACTCTGTACACACATACACACACACACACACACACACACACACACACACACACACACACACACACACTGCCCGCTATCTACAGCTATGGCGGCTATGGCCGCTGCTACCCTATCGCTATGGCTAAGCTTCTTCTCTCTCGCCCACTTTGTCCTCGGGCTCACTGCAGACCACCTCGCACAAGTCGCTGTGGCAGCGCTTCCGCATGGCTCACGCAGGAATGAATGAATGGCTGGACGCTGCCCTTTGATTTATACTTCTGTAGCTTGTTGGTCTGGCCCTTTTCCTTGCCCGTGGTGCACACAGTCCCATGCGGTACTTGCTTGACTGGACTAGGACTGACTGGGACCGGTACTGCTGACTGCATGGGTTTGCACTGCCGACGTACTGCAGTTGGGCTCACCACTTGCCCACTTGCCCACTTGCCTCAGCCAAAACGTGAGCAACTTCGAAAGGCCACTACTAGGACCTTCCGGAAGTCTGGGTCCTGGCCTTTCAAAGACTAGCAACTATGACCTTGACCCTTCAGGACTGTAGCAGCTACGACTTCTAGAACTCCCTAAGACTTCTACTCGACAGACCTACAGATCGAACCCCTGCTACCTACAGACCCTACGACAGTCTACCAACTGTTACAAATACACAGGTCACAGGTTCAACTCTTGGGGTCGACACAGATACTGTACACATGTAAGGTGAGGACTAGCGATCGAGCCCTGGGATCTGCATCGGCTACTGCAAACTGGTGAATGCCGTTTCACTCCCGCCGGCCTGAATTCGAGGTCCTCCGAGAATAACTCAGTCCAAGGCAGGACCTTTACCTTTCTTATCTCTCTCGTAGGCTCTCACTATGGAGCTGTTTCTAGAAGTCCTGTTCTGGTAAACCAGCGGTCGCCTCTGGCTCCTGATAAGCAAATCGGACTTTATATTGTTTCTGTGGACGACCTCTACCTCCTGTTCTAAACACATCTCCACCTACGATGCCGTCAATGTCATACCTTCCGTCCATGTCTGGGGGGATCATGGACGTCTGGATGGAAACTGCTGAATTGTTACACACGGCAGCAACTTTGATGCATGAAATACAGGGTGGGTGTGGAGGTGTGCTGGGAACTCTATTGTGTAGGACGGCCCATCCTCTCCGCCCTTGACTTCTAGAACTGGCCACGGTCCTCTATACGTGGGCAGTAACTTCTGCGAGATGTTTTCCTCAAGAGTAAACTCCTTAGACTTAACCCAGAGTAAGTTGCCTACTTGGAACTGCGATGGGCTTAGCTTGTTCTATCATTCTATGCTGGGCCTTCCTGAGGTTTTCCACAACTGTAGCTATTTCTTTTTCGTGTTGTATTGTGAACTCCCTGGTACCGGTGTCGCGCCCCCACTGTTTCAAGGGTTTGGTTAGATGTCCTTCCCCGGACCGAGCGCAGTGGGTTGGTGGACTGGCAGGCTGTCACGCAGGATTTTGATAGGTATAGAATAAAGGTGTATTCAGAGGCAGTCTTTGTCACACTTAGTCATACAGCCGAGTAGTCAGGGTTATCCCTCCTGCCAGCGGCGACACGGCTTAGAGTGAGGCGTTCGGGTTTATCGCCTGCACCTGACCCCGTATAAAGGTTAGATTCAAGGTCACCGGAGTCCCTATTGTCCAGGAGTCCTTCAAGCTGCCTTGAGTGTAACATGTGTAACATAAGGAGGAAAATAACATACATACATCATAGAGCACTTGACACTGACAGAACGAGAAGAACAGAAACCAGACTCTGCAAGAGCATGACTAGAGATACGAGATTGAAGAGTAGTACACAGTGTATGCAGGGAGCAACCATCGAAGGGCTGCAGTCACTAATAAATCATAATAATGTCATGATACATCATAGTGACTAGAAAGAGAGAACCTCAATCAATAATGATAAGTGGTACCCCCTTGTGAGTAAGTGCTACTGTTTGGGACTCCATATCTGGTACCCGCTGGTCCCCTTCGTCGTTGAGAATCCGTGTGGCTATCGACTTTGGAACCACATATCTGATATCAAGAGGCACTGCTGGATCAATCTTGCAGATATAGGCCATGCATCTCGCCATTTCCTCGTCTGCAACGCTCCTAAGATAAAGCCCCTCTGCGAGGGTGATGTTGCCTGTAGCTCCAATCAATATCTCAATCCTTCCTCTCCTATCAGCGTAGACGTAAGAAACCTCGAGGAAACGATCTCCGTAAAGAGGCTTCCGAAAAGCCTGCATAGCAAAGTCAGCCCCAACCACATGAATATGACCATCTTTGAGATATGAGACCGGACCTTCCCCTCTTGGGGGACCAACAACCGCCTCGGTCCTAGGGTCGTCTGACATGTAGGAGTCAATCGCCCTCGAGCATATACCGTGCAAGAAGATGCGCAATCCTCCTCAATGTCGCTCTCCGCCATCGCCGCTTACCGGTCTCCAGCGCTCCTGCTACTGTCCACAGACTCAGTCTCTATGAGTGTCCCAGTCGAAGTAGTCGCCAAGATCAATGTCACTCACGCAGCAGGGCTCCTGGTCGGACTCATCCGTCTCAGATCTCTGTACGCAAGTAGTGATTGGGACCCCGAATCTGGCTCTCTCTCTCCTGATCCGCTCATCTTTCCGCCTCTTCCCCTTGAAACACAAGAGTCCAGTCCCTTCACACTCCTACTTGGCGCTCAACGCCCAGCCTACTCCTACACAGCTACGATCAGCCTAATAATAGACAATGCAAGTGTTGACATCAGCGACAACCCGAAGTACTTGAAGATGTCGCCCATATGCTGACCATCGCCAATACAAGGCAAGTGCCCTCACATCATCATCATCATCATCCTTCGCCCTTCCTTGACTTGACACCCAGACCTGTCCTCTCTTGCACCCGAAGACCACCCCTGCGCCTCACTGTGTATCCAAGCCCAACCCGCTATGGAGGCTGGTTATGGCGCTGCCCTCAGCAACGCCCTGCTCCCACACACGACCGCACGTGCGCAGCCTCTTGCTCCAATGCCGACAGCCAGCCCGCGAGCAATTGCTCCAGCAGCGCTGCCGCCAGCCAGCAAGTGACCGAATGTCGCTGCCAGCGAAGAGCTCTTTCCTTTATGGAAAGAGTTGGCCTGCTTGCCCTGCCTGGCTGCCCTGGCTTGGGCCCGGCCTGAGTTTCTCTCAACCAATTGGCGCGTCACAACTGCCTGGACCCCAAATATGAAATTGACAGTGGAGGGCCTCTTGCGATATGTCAGGCCCGCTTTCACTTAGGGCGGGCACCTCCGCCTTCACTTAGGGCGGGCAATGCTGCAAACAGGGCCCCACAAGCCTACCGAGCACCCTGATCCTCGCACTCGTGCAATGCTATCCGGTACCATGTCTCTACAAGGCCCACCTCGGACATGGATTTACCCAAGACGCGTTCCCCCGACACTGTGGTTTCTTAATCAGACCCCCTGCTAGCAATCGGATCAGCTCCTATCTATTCCCTTCGACTCCTCGCGATCCAGGCACTTCTCCCCTCCACTTCAACCCCTCCGACACGTTGTCGAGCTCATCGGTCCGGCACTGCACAAAACGGGGCGGGACCCTCCCGGCCTCGTCACGCAAGAGTTGGTCTGCTTCTTCGTCGCGAATACACATGGAGCTTCCGCAAGCCGCTCCGGCCGAGTGCGCCAGCCATACCTCTCGCGAGCCCCTACGACAGGATAGGGCCTACGCAAGGCACGACTTACCTCCACCTTGCAGGAGCTGTCACCTCCCTTCGGTGGGCGTATCCCCGCCGAGCTACCAGTCCACAGTACGAAAGCTGATCAGTTGCAATCGCAGAGGTGGACCAGCCGAGGGCGTTTTCTCGTTCGTTGTAGCATACGGGGTACGCGCGGTATTACGCCTCTATCGGACCCTCACGCGAATCGACGCTCTGGGGGCTGAGGTCCCAAGTGCGACTCGTCGTCGGTCGACTAGGACGTATCCCACACACCACGCATACACCACTCTAAAGAACATAAAAATAAAAACACACACACATACACATACATACAGAACGACACAGAACAAACAACGCGACAACACTCCTAGTCCCTTAGTAACGATCCCATAACTCTCCGATGCGGAAATCGGATAGGCGTCGCGCACGAGACTTGATATATAACCACACGGACACAGGGGTTAATCTCATATCGACTCGCAATGCAAGCATACACAACCAGTTGCAATGATGGCGTACTATGTAGTACCCATACTCATGCTGTCCTCGTTAATCTCGAGGGTCGCATTCGACATTCAAGTGTCGGCTGATACGCGCCTTGAGGGATTGATCTCTCGACGCTGGACAACCGCCAAGTGCGGTTGAGAACCACACCCTTTTCTGCACTCTGCGAAGAGTGGGTGGTACACAGGTTCATACTTGTGGTGGCAATCGTCTCTTATCGCCCT